TATATATATATAAATATAATATTATTGGTCAATATATATATATATATATATATATATATATATATATATATATATATTGACCAATAATATTATCTTTTCTCACTAACTAACTATATATATATATATATATATATATATGGATATAGATCCGACAGTATGAAGAAAAATATACGGAAAAACAAACAAAAATCCTAATATGCAATTATGCTGTTTAATGTTAATATAATGTCATGTTTAATTGAATATGATCTAATGTTAATTATATTTTATGAATATGCCCTGAAGATGGTCTATTAGAACGAAACGTCCGACGTTGACATTATCTTAACATTAAAACAGCATAATTGTATATTAGGATTTTTTATTCTTTTTTTCGTATATTTTTCTTCATATATATATATATATATATATATATATATATATATATATATATATATATATATATATATATATAACCAGTATTAATCTTACTTTATTTAACAACGGAAACAGTGTGTTAAATGTTTCTTTTGAAATAGAGAAACGGCAACTTGTATTCCAGCTGCGTTTCTTTTCCGGGGTCGCACTGAACGCTACTATGATACAATATGCAACACTTATTTACATATAAAAGGTAAGAAATTAATAGTAACTACGAAAAAAAATCTTGAAAACAGCTAAAACAAAGTGACACAAATCCTTTGGACCAATAGACATTACAAACAACATTTCCACGCCCTTACACCCTCCATACGGAAAATTTGGTGAGGACTAAAAAAACGCATAAAAAAAGTCTCTTATATTCAACTATGCATCACAGGTGAAAAATAATCTGGCAGACTAAAACATCACAGAAAATTTCATTAAAATATTTATGCGACCATTGCTGCAAGAGGCAAGCAATGTTGCTAAATCGACGCAAGAAAATCTAAGCCTCTTTCAGGATTCCTGGTGGATAGCAGCTCGGATTGAGGAATCAGAGAGTCGAGTTCGAATTCTAGTCGAATCCGTTACATTCACTTACGTACTAATACCCCTGGGAAATATATTAATCCTCTTATTCTCCCTCGATCTATGGGTAAATAGCGTTTCAGACTGGATTCTATAGCCTTGGGTGGCTACTAGTCTAGGAGAAGGATAATTCTAAATTCAAATCTCGCGGAGGATCGTAGTGCAGCAGGTCCCTGTATTCGGCCCTTGAAAAAGTGTGGTTGATTCTGCACAAATTCTTCACCACTATAATCAAATCATTTGCTGGTGTCTGGGCCGTTGGTTCCTAAGAGCTGCTTGACTTTCATAAATCGAATACGACGGGAGAGTCCATCATATATATATATATATATATATATATATATATATATATATATATATATATATATATATATATAGGTTGGTGCAAAAATAATGACGTACTAATGTCAAAAAACGACATTATTACGTCATTATTTTTGCACAGCCTAAATATATATATATATATATATATATATATATATATATATATATATGAGAGAGGTTATAATTGTCCCAATGTGAGAAACGTGTATATTTTTAGAGAAGCCGCAAATATTTTTGGTTATAATGTGATTTTTTTAAAAAATATATATAATACTTTATTTTCTATTTTGTTTCTAGTCTCGCGAACTTCACCAGGCAAAGAGTGATTATTGTCACATATTATTAAAAGGAATTAATTTTTCTCACGTTTTCCGATGTTTAACCATTGTGTTTTGTGTGTAGTAGGAATAAAAAAAAAAAAAAACAATCAGGAGGAAAGTAGATAGCGATTGACATTGCAATTTAAATTTTAGCAAATTAATATTGGCTGGAAACTATGGAGTCGGAAATGAGTTCCACAATCGAGAAGATCTAGTAAAGAAACTGTTAGCATAGGGCATACGACTACACCTATCCAGCTCAACTGTAAATTGATGAGATCTCGACGCCAGACTATTACCGCGCTTAAATTCATGAAGTCTTGGTCGGATAACGAAGAGCTCATGCGAGTAATTAAATTAAAGTATGTATAGAAAAGACAGAGAGGCAATCGTTCGGCGGTTGTGAAGCGACTGACGCCGAGCCGCCAGATTAGGACTAGTTATATTGCGGATTCGTCTTTGGAACATATGAAGGAGCTCAAGGTGTATAACGGGGACACCGGACAATATGTGAGAGCAATCTTTTAAGCATAGGTGAACGATAGACTTATAGATATGTATGAGACAAAATAGTCTCGCACAGTGAAAAGACTCATTTTAGCAGATGACCTAGCATTGGATTCAATATTTTCTTTCCACTTCATGCTAGCTAAGAACGTTAGCATGAAAAGGCTCCACGAATCACTTTCCTGCAGGTCATATTCAGCCACGATGATGGAAGACAGAGAGTGGTCTCCTAGATGATTAATGGAGAGAAATCTAGTTTCGGAGGCGTTAAAATTAACAAGCCACTTTTTGCCTCAGGTAACGACGGAAGACGTCGTTTTGGATATCGGCTGCTATTTTGACCTTGTCAATATGATCAGCCTTACTATCAAGGCAGGAATAAAGGGCTGTATCGTCAGCGTAATTGCCAAGTTGGGAGCTGATGTCATGAAGGTCATTAATGAAAATTCAAAACAGCGTAGTACCAAGGATGCAACCCTAGGAGACACCCGCATTATTACGAAATGATATAGACAAGTCGTCGTTCAGGCTCCTAATGTCCAGTCGGATGCAGCAACGAGCATACTGCTAACTAGGTACCCTCACAATGGAAGTCATAGCCACTGGTTAGTCTGATCACTGTTAAATCAGTGTGGCCCTGGTAAAAGAATTACTATCATTTACCAAAAATAATAAGTCAGCCACAAATGTATGTCAAATTTCAAATAATATATCTGTGTGAGATGGATTAACTTCGACATTGTTTAATATATTTTCTGTTTATACGTTATTTTAAAAAAATTTATTTCAGTAAATGCTCTGATTTTTTTTAAACAAACAGTATCGACTACATTTGCCTGCCTGAATTTTCGAAATATTTCGAAGAAAATATTTTTTTCTTCTCCAACAGGAATCAAACCTGTAAACCAATTGGAAGCATCATTTGATCTGATGTACTGTTAACAATTCATCCGTCGAAGATTTTTCGTTTATAAACAGTAATTCTAGCCGTGCAAATCAGACGCTTCATTGTGACGGGACGGTTAACAGCCTATCAAACTATATGATGGTTTATATTGGAGTTCATAGGTTCGATTCCTGTCGGAGAAGCAAAGATTTTCTACTAAATTTGTCGGATATTCATGCCGGTAAGTGTATTTAATGCTGTTTATTTAAAAACAGAACATTTACATAAATAAATTGTATCTATTAAAATAATATATATATATATATATGTAGGTAATGGAAAGTTTTGTAAACCGTATGGATAATTCAGAGAGGTCGATGTAAAACAAGAGCGAATATTAATTTAAAATAAAAAAAAAACAGACTTAAGGGTCCATTGATTATATTTTATTTCCCTAGGAAGGCGTTTTTTCCAGGTTCCTCGGATCACATTTCCATTATATATATATATATATATATATATATATATATATATATATGTAGTTTGTCTGACAATCGCTAAAGCGTGAAATCCAGGGTCACAAACTCACATCTATCCAACCAAATATATATATATATATATATATATATATATATATATATATATATATATATATATATATCTTGTTGTTCAGGTAAAAGTTTGATAATTAATAGCAATGGAGTAAGGAAAATAAAAACCAGAGAAAAGGATAAGTGAAAGCATAAACAACAAATCCAATAAAAAAATAACACAAAAGATTTAATCATTTACAAATAAAAAGATGTCTCAAGACATTGTATTTTAATTACAAGGGACTTTCAAATGCTTACTTCGAATCTTTAAACTTCCATTTTCTTATGAATAGAGAAAGACGACTTCTAGAATTTTCTTACTTTCATATAACACCACAGATTAATCCTCTACCTTGAGTGATTCTTGGGCCTTGAACTGGGAGAACATTAGTATTAAAAGCTTACGGTGGCAGCAAAAGAACAATGAAGATTCTTCCTCGATCCCAGATTCCTTCGCGCGCATTGCGTCAGCAGAGAATAAAGCAACCACATGTTGATGACATGTCGGGCGTCGACCGATTTTGATCCGAATTATTTCCTCTATATTTCCGTGGTGGTCATATGATAATCCTTGGATTCACTTGAGAATATATTTCAAAATTGTAGGGATGTCTACTAAATTGAAGTAAAACATTTGGAGCGCACATTTATTAATTTTATTGCATTTATTTATTTATTTAGTATATTTTCAATGGTCATATAAAAGATAAATACGAAAATGCGATGGTGGAAAGTACTTCAATAAGCAATAACGATGTATGAACTTCGGGTGGTTTATCCACTACATCGAGTAGAATACTGAACACACTATTCGGAGGTTGAAAAATACAATAAAATTTTAAAAAGTCTGACAGTGCCAATGGTTTAATCAAACTTAATTGAATGGATACTTGCTGCCTAAATATAATATACCATGGGCATATATATATATATATAAATACACACACACACACACACACACACACACTCATATATATATATATATGTGCGTGTGTGTGATAGAAATATTATTTTAGGGTATGCTATATTCATGAGTAAATGTGACAATGTCACGGATAGCGTAAGTAAGCACGCGTGTGTGTGCGTTTCTCTGTGTGTCTGTGTGTTTCTCTGTGTGTTTCTCTGTGTGTGTGTGTGTGTGAGTACGCACGATGTTATCTATCCATATATATATATATATATATATATATATATATATATATATATATATATATATATATATATATATGTATAAACAAATACATATATATATATACATATATATATATATATACATATATATATGTGTGTGTGTGTGTGTATGTGTGGAAATATAGTATAATGAGAATGAAACAAATATATACATATGAAGATAGATATATAGATATATAGATAGATAACATGAAAGTGAAGAAAAGAGAGAGAGAGAAAGAAAGAAAGAAAGAAAGAAAGAAAGAAAGAAAGAAAGACCTGACATTTCTTTGATAAATATATTTATCCGCTCAATATACTTCCGAATCAAAAGAATTCTTCATGCAATTCTAAAGAAAGATCAAAAAGTAGTCAGCTTCGGATTCTGGCAGAAAGCTTTGAATAATTCCTCTTTCCAAAGACGAAGATTTGTGCAAACGGTAAGCCAATATCCTTCCAAAAAGGCAAACTAGAAAAACAAACGAGATATAAAGTGCACAATTTGTTTTCTTTATTTTTCTCCCTCGAAGATTACGGTAATTAAAATGATCAAAGCAGATTTTGTCGATATCTCTCTACGCGACTTCTTTTAGAAGTCTCGTTTCATTCGAGAGCTTCGCCTTTTCACGAGATTATGGCTGAGATTAAGTCAATGCAAAGGTAAACTTATAAAAGATTCTGAACATTTGATATAAATGTGTATACTGCACCCTTTAAAGGAAAATTACACTGAAAATATAGAATTTATTTCCAGTGTGTTTTTTTTTTCTAATTCTATTTTCCATATAGAAGTAAAGATGTAAAATTATTCGAGAAATTTTTCTTTTGGTTATGTGTTGGGGAGCATTTTTATTTCTTAATTTTTATTTTGCATTTTTCAGTAAGGTATATGAAGACTATGATCAGTGTATTAAATACAAAGAAATATGCTTTCCACCACATCAAGTATTAAATTATAACGAACAAATGTACATTTTACATTTGTACCAGAGGAAAATGTATTCTTGCCATTATTCCATTATATAAAGGTTCATTTTCCCAGTCACAAGTTATAAATATGAAGCCTGTTCGTGCTTATGATTGGTTACCTTGGTTGAGTTTACGCATTGTCAACGCTTGTTGGGTTATTTAATATCGTTTTATTGTATGGCGAAGTCATTGAATATCGAACTCACTCCTCAGTAGCAATGTTCAACAAGGCTATAGTCAGTAACCCTTATCCCCCACACAGGTTTTAGTCTTTATTTTTATAGTAACTCTGCAAATATATATATATATATATATATATATAGACTTTTTAATTGTTTTGTTTCAACCCTAAGTAAGGCAATAAAGCCACTAAGAAGTAAGGACTTACTGTGTGGAATTAGATCTCATCTGTCCGATTAACAATTTTGAGCCTTTATCCATTACATCACATATACATCCGAGATTAAAGCACCGGGTATTTCCTAATGGTCACCCATCTAGTTAGTGACCAGGCTCGATTTGCTTAACTTCGGTGACCGTATGGAAATCAATGTTTCAATGTGATGTGGCCGTAAGCCGTTCCGCGTCTGTAGTTGTTGAGAAAACAGATTTATTTTTTTTTTTGCTGATTTATTTTTGAAGAGTATTTTTATGTTTATACAATATTAATGAGTTGATATTTTTTGCGATTAAGAGAGCCTATTTTGGGAGGATTTTATTCTTCTATGTTGTTTAAATATTAAAGATCCATTAGTTAAGAAGAGGGGTGTGTCTCTGTATTCTTTTTTCGGTTAGGGTGGTGCTGTCACGGCGAATTCCATCAAGAAGACTAACCGAAAACAATCGTCTAAAAACAGTGCTCTGGTCTAAAAGCATCAACTTCTATCCTAATTTTGGCAGACGACAACTTGGGAGAAATGTTAATCTATTTTGCGCGCGAAAATCAGAAAAAAAAATAGCGAATATTTTTTTCTTGTAATATGAAATTTTCATGTATGATTAATAAAAACAAAAGAGATCGTCGACTAGATTGAACAATACTGCGAATTAGAAAGCGTATCCGTCCTCGAGCGAAGAAAAATCTCAAAATAATTGTAACAAGAACAGTAAAAATTTGTCTGCTCGCATACATAACCAGGACACTGAATTAAAAAGAGATGATCAGATTAAAACCTTGATGTCTGCATTAGGCTGTGTCATTTCGCAATATTCAGCTCTAAAAATAACTCCGTTAATATACAAGTATCTGGGTAACAGACGGCGGAATTTTTTTTGGATATTTTTATAATAATGTTCAACTTGTGAAAGGCCCAAGGGTCACTTGAGGTATAGGGTTACCGAATAGGAGATACGGTTTATGGGGATATTTGCGGAAAGATAACGTTTAACCCTATACTTGAATACATTAAAATTGTAGTGATCGGGGAAGCATCTACTTAGCACTCTGTGGTTTGTTGGAAGAAGTTAGAACTTACAACTCTGTAATGGAATAAGAAGGAAAATATTCTTAGTACGGGGTCTTAACAGTGGTGTTTAAAAAAGGTGCAACTAAAGGACGTAGTTTGTCTGAACACTTTCCACTGAAATAGCGATAGAGTACCATCTGTGAAAAAGGGGTCTGTACCCTGGAAAATAATTCAATCAATCACAAGGCAACTAAGATGATTTGGACTCTATCGCATCTTGAAAGTTAAGACTCGGCAGCACCTACCAATACATTGCAACAGTGTTCTATTTTCAGCCTGATTTGATTCTTAAAACCGTAGAGGGTAGAAGACTGAGTCAGATATTTACTGGAACGGTATATTTTATCATCTTTATCCATGGATCGTGCGTGGTGCGTCTTCCACTTGAGTTTTGGGTTGAGTTTAAGTCCAAATAAAAGATCGAAGAAAGGCGACACAGTAGGAAAGAGCGGGTAATCTGGATGACAGGTGGAATCGTAAAAGTCAGAGTTTGCTTAGAGCAATAAGGCACAGGAAAATTGGAAACGCCATGATCGACTTGAAGGGAGACGGCAGATAAAAGAAGGTTAGAAGTTTCAAGAACGAATGCAAAACATAATCATTTTAGAGAACAAAATCAGCATAAAAATGGTCTTCTGTCTTGAGCGATGATACTGACTTTATTATATCTGCTCAAAGAATGTAGTCAATGAAAGTGAAAAGAAAGTTTTAAGAAGCTCGTCTTCGGTTTTATTTTTTTGTTTTTTTTTTTTTTTTTTTTTTTTTTTACCAGAACTAGAAGTTTCTCTCTTGTTTAGTTTCCATTTCCTGTACTTTCTACTTCTTATATCTCCGCCTGAACTATTCCATAATTTTTATTTTCCTTTCTCAATATGAGTAGATAGGCATGTCTATCGTTCGGTTCAAATTTCTTTTCTTTTAATCAGGACTAGGTGTTTTATCACTTGTTCCATGTTTAGGCCTGCGTTTCTTAAAGTCTACTCCAACTTTATACTTCTATTATTCACTAATTAAATGTTGACCTCTTCAAGTCTAGATTTAGCTGTTATCTTTCCTTCATAATCCCAATAACTTCACGTTTTGCCCTTTCTTACGCTAATACAACTACACATAGCAAGCCTCTACCTTGAGTAGCAATCGGGCCTTGTACTGAGTGAATATTATTAAATAAATAAATAAAATTGAGAACAGACCCAGATACAAGCTACAAGCTATAGGCATCATTACCAAGCAAGTGCGAGCATTTAATACATAGAAAATGTTTTAAAAGAAGACGGAAAACGTCACACCGAAATCCGATGTTTTGGAATAACGAAATGATTCTAAAATGATGGATAAACCGTGACTGAACATGTGAGTAACGACACAGTTTTAAGGAAAATTGAAACAAAATGAAGGCTTACATTACGAATCAGGCAGAGTTGATTTTTTTAAGACAAATGACCAAAGATGGGTTGGAGTATGTGACATTCAGAGGACATTGAATATAAGAGCGACTAAAGAAAACAGGATATGACCTACTTATGATGCTTGATTTAATGTTTGTCAGGACAGAGACCGAGAAAAAAAAATAACCAAAACAGACTGAGACCTACAAAAGTTTGAAAGATGTGGAGAGGCTTGATCGCCGATGGCTCAAAGAAGGCATATAATGAAAAGGGGAATATAGTGGATATGACAATATTCCGTATCTCAAGTCGGTGAGTTTCTGCTGTGTCATCCTGGCAACATTGGACATTGGCGACTAACCAGTGCCGGTCACGCTTTACTTAACTAAATGTGCATTTCATCCGGTTGCTGGCAGTAAATTTTGGCAGTGATGCTCAGATTAGATTCCAGAAAGCAGTAATGTATAACGCTAACGGACTACCAGACAATCAGCATTTTTCTGTTGGTGCAATGTCAATTTTGGAATGTGTTTGGGCTCTTCGTCATAATGAAGCCACTGAGCCAATCATTTACGATTGTCACAAAGTATCGATTTCAAATATTCTTTCTTTATGTACCGTGTCACATCAGGACGTAGACAATCATGGCTCTCCACTTCCTGTTTTCCCTTGTAGTTCTCAAAAAGTTTTGTCCTTTTTCTACTTTTCCCAGACCCTGTTCTGTCATCCACATGCTTAAGCCCGCTAGGTATATCACGCGTTGCTTTCCCTTTGACTCGATTCCAACTATTCGCCCTGTCAGTATCAGGTATTCGACTATTTCCTTTCTCATTACGTGTCGCAGAAATTTCAGCTGCCTCTTCCTGATGTTAAGTATAAGCTTCCCATGTGTTTGATCCATACTATCCTTAACATCCTCCTAGGGAAACATACCTCTGTCGGCTCGAGCCTCTTTTTCATTTTTGAAGAGACCGTCCAACATTCGCTGCCGTAAAGGAGGACAGACGTCACGTAGCAGCTGAATACTCTTTTCTTTGTTACCAAAGCGATCCTCTTGTCCCATAATATTCTGCTTAGCTTTTGAATGCTTTCTTGGGCATCGCAATATTTCTACGGATCTCAGCGTCGCACTTGACGTCCTACGGAGGACATATAACACGTAGCAGTTCAGTACGGTTTGCTTTGTTATCAATGAAATCTCTCGTAATAGCATCTGGAATGCGTTTTTGGCCATTCCAATATGTCTTCGGATCCTTATTTGATCAAATAATGGATCGTTCGAATTTCGCAGATGGATGCAACATCGAGCACATCGATTTATTTCAATTCCACGGAGTTCATGTGAAACCTACTTACTGGTTGTTTTCATTTTAAGACACTTTGACGTCAGTTTTTTTTTTTTTCAGACTCATGTTTCCAGATGTTGATTGTCAAATGTAGATGGATGTTCTCTACCGAATTGATCATTAACTCTCGTATCCAGACTGAGGAACTTCAGAAACCAGCACTTGTTCAGTTCGAACAGGTGCTGCTTCAGAAGTGAAGGTTTTACCCTCTATTCTGTTAATTTTAGAAGCAGTTTTAGGAGCATTGTGACCGTTCAGGTATTGACGGAAAAAGTTATACACGGCTCTTCTTTTTTCATATACAGGATGCGGGATATTTAATGTTTAAAGTTAAATTCTAGGATAGATTCATATGTAAAGGATATTCTTTGTTAGGAATCAGTTTGTAGATTGGCTTATTTTATTTTACGACATATCAATCTCAATGGGTTATTTAATGCTGTCAAGATTTTTAGGATAAGTTCATATGTAAAAGATATTTATTCTTTTAAGAGATCAGTTGCCTTTAGATTTGGTTTGGTTTGGTGTGGTTTGGTGTGGTTTGTTTTGTTTTACGACATATCAATATCAATGGGTCATTTAATGCTGACAAAAATTTTTATTGCTGGTAATGTATTTTTCTTCAAAAATCTATTTTTGGGTATATTTTTCCTTGAAGAAATCTATAGCTGGTAATTATTTTTTCAAAGAATGTATAGCTGCTTGTATTGTTCGTACTTTTTTTTTTAAAGTATTGCTGATAATAATTTTTTCTTCTAAAACTATTGCTGGTAATATTTCTTTATTACAAATTATTTCTGGTATTAAAACCTATTTTTACACAAGATTGAGTGTCAACTCTTTGACCATAGCTGGGACCATAACAGCTGCTAACAACGCGGGTCAGGATAGACCTGGGAACACCCGCAATTAAGAGGTGGTTCAACGCTCCTCAAAACCTCCTGATTAGAGGCCTTACTGTTGGACGTAGTTTATCGTCTTATCCAGGACGCGGATGTAGTTTATCGTTATACCCAAGACGGTTTACACAAGTTTGGATGTTAAATATTTGCCCATAGCTGTGACCCTTACAGGTGCTATCACCGCGGGTCAAGATGGGCCTGGGAGCACCAGCAATTATAAGGTGGTTCCACGCTCCTTAAAACCTCCTTATCAGAGGTCTTGCTGCTGGATGAAGTTTATCGTCTTCTTACCCAGGACGCGGGTGTAGTTTATTGTCATACCCAGGACGAAATATATATTGTGCAACGAATATAATACTTTATTAGAACTCAAAACGTTTATTCGAAATTCGAAATTTTTTTTCAGAAATATAAATCCTAACATTTCAATAAAATTTACTACCGACAATAATCCGATGCGATAAAAAAAGAAAGAAAAAATAATCCAATATTCACATAAAAAAGAATGAGAAAAAGTAATGGGAAAAAATCCGGTATACGTCCTTCAGATTTGCATTGTCCTCTCTCACGTCGTTGGCCATACCATCAAATCAAGAAATTTCAACAATAGCCTCTTTTGTGTGGGGGAGGTTGATTGAGTATGTAAGTCCCGATTTCTTCGTCTTATATCTCCCCTCAATTCCCTGAAAATCCACCCCCATTTCACATTGCTCAGATTTCATGCCAACACTATCGTCGAAGCTTGTATCGAATACTGACTAGCCGCATTGCTGTTTAGAGCTTGTCTACTGCCATATGTCCACACAGCTTTTAATATCCCTCCATTGCTGACCAGAGCTGGTGTTTTCCTTTTGCTTCTCTCTTTTTCCTTTTTTTCCGCTCAACTCCAGAAATGCATATAACCTCGCTACAAGGTCGATGCATAAGTATTGCAGAGATAATAACAGATCTCCGATCATAAATGGCCTGTTCGTTTTTCCCCGGATACGATGGCCTTGTCCATAATTCCTCCAATCCTGACCCTCTTCCTTTGGACCTTCTAACTTTCCATTTCCTTCGCCTTCGCCAACCCTCACCGAAACAACTAGACCCATGTTAAACTACGCTTTCCATTACATTCCGCCGTAAAGCTATTCTTTTTTTATTTCCTTATCTTAAACCTTCTTTCTTTCTTTCTTTCTTTCTTTCTTTCTTTCTTTCTTTCTTACTTTTTCCATTCAAACCGCCATCTTTCCTATCTTTCTTCGTATTTATCTATTATTTTCTACATTTTTATTTCATTCTATCTTTCTTTGTTTTTTCTCTTCAAACCCACCTTCTTTCTTTCTTTTCTTTCTTTTCTTTTTTCTTTCTTTCTTTCTTTCTTTCTTTCTTTCTTACTTTTTCTCGTATTTTCTCTTCAAACCGCCATCTTTCTTTCTATCTTTCTTCGTATTTATCTATTATTTCATCTACATACTACCATATTTCATTCATATCTTTCTTTGTATTTCTCTTATTTTCTCTTCAACACAACCTTCTTTCTTTCTTTCTTTCTTTCTTTCTTTCTTTCTTTCTTTCTTTCTTTCTTTCTTTTCTCTTCAAACCAGTTTCTTTCTTTTTGATTCTATTATTTTCTTTTTTATTTTATCTTTCTTTGTATTTTTTATTTTCTCTTCAAACTTTTTTTTTTTATTCAGTTTCTTTTGTATTTTTTCGTCTTTTTTCTTACTTTTTACTTTTTATTTTTTTGTATTTCTCGTCTGTTCCCTACAAACCACTATCTTCCTTTATTTTTAAACAATTTTCATTGTTTCTATCTTTTTTCATTTTCTTCCTCTTTCAATTTTTTTTTCCATTTTTAACATCTTTTTCTTTTGTGTTCCATTTTTATAAAATTTCATTCTTTCTTTTCAATCAATTTCTTTATGTTTATTTCTTTCCGATTTTATATTTTTCTTTTCTTTGTGTGTTTCTCTCTTTCTTTATTCTTCATATACATTTTATGTTTTTATTTCTTTTCTACGAACTTCTTCTTTTCAGTTTTATGTCTTTATTTCTTTTGATGCCCTTCCTTCTCACTTTTTCTTTCTTCATGTGTATCTTTCTTTTTTCTTTTCTCATTATTCTAGCTACTCCTCCTTGTTCATTTTCTTTCATTCTTTCTTCTATCAATAACCATTATTTCACTTTCATTCTTTCTACCAATAAGCATTATTTCTTTATATATTTATTTCTTCTGGCAATATCCACTCCTCCACACTTTTTTTCTTTTTTATTTTGAATTTCTTTCTTTCTTTCTTTTCTACCAAGAAGCATTCTTTATTTTTTTCTTTCCTTTTCGCAACAAATGCGGAAAAGGTAGCCATGATGGCTGGCTCATACAAGATGGCCGATAGATACAAAACTTATCTTCCCAAAGTCCAGCCTGTCAGGGACGATTATCTGTTTAATGTTTTATAAAGCCGACTCGGTCTACGGTCGATATCTCAGGGGTACGCTTGCCGGTGACAGTTCTAATCGTCGGGCAGAAAAAAAAAAGATATCGGCATCTGACTCTTACTGGCGGAGAACGAGGGTGGAGGCTTTCGCATGAAGAGAAGAGAGACAAGGAAAACGAATTTTCTCTACACACCCTTCCCCTAGGCAGACGAGCAAATAAAAATAAAGTATGGCAAACGATGCTCTTCCGGACATTTGTTTTATCTTTTTGCTAGCGTCGACCATTTCCCTTCCTCTTCTGAGACATTCAGAAGCTTTTGTCGCATTTATAAAATTCGCGTAAAAAGCAGTTTCTTCACATATATACATACACAAATGGATATATATATATATATATATATATATATATATATATATATATATATATATATATATATATGTGCTTAAAAGTGAGACAGACAAGTACAGTGACATTGTCCGAGCATTTAAAATGCCGTAGTATGTGAAGTTGCATGTTAGGCCCATGATAATTGGAACACTGTCGCGGTGTAAACTGAAATATTTCGGTGCTCTAAATTCTATAAAATAGCCGAAGACTTGAAACAGTTAGCACATCTAAACAAGCAAAACTCTGAATTTAATAATTTGAATATCAGAAAGAAATATCAGTGAGGAATTATTATAAAGGAATCCTTTACAAAGTATATATATATATATATATATATATATATATATATATATATATATATATATATATATATATATATCCCCTACAAAAAATATATATATATATATATATATATATATTACTTACTTACTCCCTAATGAGCCAAATGATAACACACACTCACAGCAATATACACGCTTACACATATCATACTCACTCACTCCCTAAGAGCCACAAAGCACACACACACACACACACACACACACACACACACACACACACACACTTAACAGAGACACATCCCCTCTCCAGGAACCAATAAAACTGTCAAACTGACCAGAGGAATTCAGAGCAGCATAGATCCATCCAGCTCTTATCTCAAATAACAACTTAAAAGAGACTGTTTGACCAACACAAGAAATGTTAAAAGATTCATGTTAAAAAGATAAAAAAAACAACAAAAAAAAACAAAAAACAAATGAAAACTACAGACAAAAGTTCATTTTCTCCATCAAGACATTCATTTCTGTAGTTTACTGCTACCGGCAAGCAGAAATATTTCTTCTCCTGACGATGGCCATTTTGGCTGAAACTAGTCGAGGAATCTAAATGAAATAATAATATTAATCTACAACCCAGTGTGTCTGAAGATTTTAATTTTTTAATATTTTTATTGTTCAACATATATATATATATATATATATATATATATATATATATATATATATATATATATATATATGCATGTTTCATTAAAAACGACAGAGAGGGTTAAGCTTTTTATTTAATTTTCCTTGTGTTCGAACAAGTGCTTTTTTTTTTCGGCCACAGGGTGTGTAGAAACTGTATTTATTTATAATAATTTTGAATCTTCACTTAAAAATATTATAAAGAAATACACTACTCCAATGGACACAAATAAAAAAAAAATTAAATTAATTATCTACTATAAAAAATTAAAACGGCTAACATCATCCTCAAAAATAACAACACACCAGCAAAGTCAAAATTACAACAAACGTAGATTATGAGTTCAAATGCCCCATAAGAAACCGTGATCCTGATGAAAACGAATTCTTAAGTAATTTCATCGGTCACACTACTACATGCCTATCCAGACGACTTACGTTACGCCTATATGACCACAGCTCTATTCGAACACATTTAAACACGAAAACAAACTTACCAGACTTCAACGGAAACATACTAGTAGAAAACACAAACATAATAACCTCATCAACCTGTAAAAAGATTTAAAATAATGGAAAGCCCTAATAATAACAAAAAGCCAACACTTAAGAATATTAACTACGAACAAGGCCACAATGTGCTGGGTTCGCAAAATAAAACATCTCTATGATAGGAAAAACAGACATAAAGCAAGCAAACAAATAAACACGAAAAAATAAAATCATCCATGATAATTGCTAAAACTATAGACGAATGCAATCGTAACTAGAGGACATTTGAACATTTTCAACACCCTCTGTGCCCAAAAAAGGAATTATTTGTTTGAACACAAGAAAAACTAAATAGAAAGCGTAATCGTAGGACCTTGTCTTTCGTTTTTACTGAAACATTCATAAATGAAGGATTGCTGCATAAATACACAATATAGATATATATACACACACACATACACACACATATATATATATATATATATATATATATATGTATATACATGTATATATTTATATATGTATATATATATGTATTTATTTATATATGTATATATAAATGTATATATATATATATATATATGAATATATATAAATATGTATATAAATGTATATATATATATGTGTATATATGTATATATATATATATATATATATATATATTTTTAAAAAAAAAAATTATAACATAAGTATGTTATAAAATCACTACAAAAATTGCCATTTTGTTTCAACACACTGTGTCTTATCAAGTGATGATGTTGAAAATAAAGGTTTTATTTTCAACATCATCACTTGATAAGACACAGAGTGTGTTAAAAAAATGGCTATTTTTGTAGTGATTTTATAATATACTTATGTTATTTTTTTTTTTTATAAAAAATAATTATATCTGCTCTACTTTGTATTGAGCACTCTTTTTAAGAATAGTAATTGTTGGTTATTGAATTCATTCCATATATACCAATTATATATATATATATATATATATATATATATATATATATATATATATATATATATATATAAACATACGAAGAAACAGGGATTCAAGAGGATTGCGATCTAAATTGTATTTGCATTTGGCGATTTTTTTGGTTATTTTTAAAAATAAAAGAAAATAAATTCAAATCAGGTTTGCAAATGAAGAGAAACTGTCCATTTTCTTGACGAGGGTATTGGCAAATATCATTTCCCTTTGAAATTTTTTGACTGGCGCTAAATAATCACAAACGAAGCATGATGCCATGTAACCGAAACCGCATCGCTTAAAAAGTACCAAGTGTAGCAACTAGTAAAAAGGATAGCACTCTTAACTCGAAGAGAAAATGATGACATGACTAAGACATTCCTCACCACTTCAAATAGAAGTTTAGGAAAGAAATCCCAGTGAGTACTGGAAAGAAGATTAATAGCTACGGAACTAGAAACACTTGTTTTCTAGTTTCTGGTTTATAAGCTAGTCAAGGTGGACTAAAGTTCTAGATAAACCTGTTTTCTGGTTTATAAGCTAGTCAAAGTGGACTATTTTTCTTGGGAAAACTGGTTTCTGGTTTATAAGCCAGTCAAGGTGGACTACTTTTCTTGGGAAACCTGTTTTCTGGTTTCTGGTTTATAAGCTAGTCACGGTGGACTACATTTCTTGGGAAACCTGTTTTCTGGTTTCTTGTATATATCCTAGTCAAGGTGGACTAATATTCTTGAGAAACCTGTTTTCTGGTTTATGATCTAATCAAGGTGGACTACTTTTCTTGGGAAACCTGTTTTCTAGTTTATAAGCTAGTCAAAGTGGACTATTTTTCTTGGGAACCTGTTTTCTGGTTTATAAGGTAGTCAAGGTGGACTACTTTTCTTGGGAAACCTGTTTTCTGGTTTCTGGTTTATATGCTAGTCAAGGTGGACTAATGTTCTTGAGAAACCTGTTTTCTGGTTTCTGATTTATAAGACAGTCAAGGTAGACTATTGTTCTTGAGAAACCTGTTTTCTGGTTTATAAACTACTCAAGGTTGACTAATGTTCTTGGGAAACCTTGGGAAAGGTGCTGTGAGATAAATATTTTTTAAATTTCAACCGAAAGCCGTACTGTCTGCTCGGTTAATAAATGGGATATATTTCCGCGTAGAGTAACGGCTAATATTGCCATTACCCCTACCATATTTGAGGCAGAGTCGTGATTCTATTTACCTAGAACTTCATGTATTCCTGGTTTAAAAGCTAACTAGCAGCATGACCCGGCGATGCCCGTGCTTGATTCAAAAATCGTACGACTCATACAGCAATCGCTATCACTTGACTTAAAATATTTTTGCCCTTCCCTGTCTTTAAAGGAGTGCCCTTTGCCGTGCTGATGTTGCCAATGCCTTACTTCTTGCCTATCTCACACTGCGAATTTTTTCTAAGCTCTCTACTAAACATTAAATCTGTTATGAAAAAACAACTAAACCAAATGAACACAAAACGATCAGCTTTAAAAAAGGACTCGTAACTGGAAAAATCGAAAGAAAAAAGAATGTTAACAATAGATACTTTTTCACACCCAACCCAGTTCAGCGGAATCAGAATCAACGTTGAGTTTAAGTAAACGAATTTGCCAAATGAAGTAAAGTGCCATGCAGATTAAAATTTTTCCCACTTGTGACGAATGCAGCTATAGATTTTTTTGCATGCTAGTTAACATTCGTGTCAGTCAGCTGTTGGCTCTCACTCTCAAGCTATAGGTTTTCACTCTGGCCAGTAGAAAATGGCCGCAGACTACATGAAAACTGTCGTAGAAGCATGAAAACATCGATTATTTACACTATCGATGGGAGTTGGGAAATGCAAAGTCAGTCTTGAGCTTCTCGCTAACTTGGAGCATGTGCATGTAAATTCTGGTGCAAATCCGTCGAAAATTTCGGCCCTGCATTCCACACACACACACACACACACACACACACACACACACACACACACACACACACACACATCCTGCCTTTTATAGATAGAGATCAAAGTGGT